CTACCGATCGATGAATTTTCTAACAAAGATTACACAACATAGCCATACCCTCTGGGCAAGAAATCGGGTTGAGCATATCAGACAAGAACAGCGTTCCATGTAGGCTGATTTGTGTACATACAATATTCGTTAAAATGTGATTGCAGTGAGATACCAGTTGGGAACTAAAGTTTCGGGAATAAAGTCACAAGAACGAAAATTCCAAAGTTGGCTATATAGACCGGATATAAGTTCCATAGTCAACAACAAGGATTTGGGTGAGCAGAGACCAAACCCAACTTAGCACCTGTCATTCGTCTGCCTCTTGACTTCCCCTGTCTAGGTTTGGGCAACCTGGCAGTACGTCAGCCCTCGTGCTTCCTTCGGGTGGCATGGCAGCCAGGCACCGGAAAGGTGTTACAGCTGAACGATTTTATCGGTCCTGAGAGCTTTAGAGTTTGCACTATCACGCGTGCACATGTCCTTGCTTACACGGTCAGTCAGCGTAACTGGCTGATCACGTCCGTAGAACAACTATCGAAGAAAAAACATGAGCTAGACAGATAGAACGTGACAAATAATCAGTTTACCATGTTCTAGGTTGTGTACTGACCAGTCAGTCGAAAGACGCTACGTAGAATAATAATATTTACCATAAAAAGTGAGAAGTTGAGTGGACAACCCCAAATCAGCCCTCTGGAATTCAACTCAGAAATGGCTGATAGCGTACGGTTTCTGTTCTCTTGCCACATCGGCTATACGAAACCACCCCCGCAGCGTGACAGCGTGTCAAATAAAAACCTCACAAAACTAGTCACCATGCCAATGTGATGGTAAATACCGGCTTCTTCAACCGCGTAAAAGGTCCTTCGTCTGTGAAAACGGAAAATGAAGTCCTTTGTGGAAGGGCAATTTGTGGAGACTATCGTCAGGACGAGGAAGGATCTGGTAGGAGGCTCAAGAAGTCAAACAAGATAAACTACTGCGAGTTTTCCAACTCATATGGATGGTGCCCCTATGTGGCACAACGGAGATAACACTGCTACATATTCGCGTTTGCTGTGACTCCTGGAGTTGGTGATGGAAACTGTGACGTTGATGCCACTATTACTAATAATAGCGGTTTTTCGGGTAAACGAAACTGTTGTTCAGTGTCATAGACTCAGTCATTACCAACCCAGGCTTCCTCAGACAGCCCAACATATCTGACAATAACGTTTGGTTTGCTGACGACTCAACTCAAGACAGACATACACAAGAGCTTAAGGAGATTGATGCCAAATTCACTTAAAATATGCCCCAATCTACACTGAGTTTTGCAGTTAGATTCAACACCGTCAAAGATGTCCATCTGAGCAAATAAACGAAAGGGTATCCTCGATGATTACAGCGAAAAAACAGTGACCACTGATGTAGCTCGTTAGCTGTGAAACAGAATTTTCTCTTTGGACGACGGTCGGGTTTTCTGGTGATCAACTCGGATTCTTCGCTTTATCTTAAAGGCATAGCTAGGGAGTTTTGAGGCCATCAGAATTCTCCTAATCATTCTCAAATGTCTAAATAAGAATTTTTCTGAATATCAGTTTTATTTTAGGTCATCTATAAAGATTTTATGGATCAAATCTGGCGAAAGTTCAATGAGGTTTCGTTTACACGACATTCGAAAAATCTGGGGAATTTTTGTGTACTGGTCCGGCCGCGTCGGCTTTTACTATGCCCTCCACTGGAGGGCACCGTCTGGTCTCCGAGTGGACAGGACATCAAGAAATTAAAACTTGTTGGCGACTTCACTCTCCGCAGTGAATTAAATTGACCCGTGGTCCAAATCGACACAACCCAAAAGCCGACGAGATCGCTCCAGTGCACAAATTTCCACAATTTTCTGTTTGGACAATACAGGCAATCAAGGCCTCTGAAATTTACTCGGATGACACAAGTGAAGCCAAACTAAAGTCCATCCCCAGGATCCTGAAAGAAAGCTGATAGTGAGATAAATTCATACTCAGACGGGATAGTACATAATGAAGAGAAACAACTACTCCAGAACCGCCTAGTTAAATCAAGGTACCGTTCTGTGTCGGCAGTCTCCGAGGCGATCACCAGAAAACTAAATCTTTGTTTAAATGAAATATTTTTGTCTCGCGGTTTAGGATTCACTGCATTTGTGACACGTTCCGTACCAACATCAAGGATGAGGCACCAGTCCCTGGCTTTTCTTCCTTTCTGCTCTTTCGAATGCGATGCAAACTACGTGGACTGTACAACTCGACACTTGCCTGGTTGATTTTTCTTCACTGTACAAAATAATAGATGTGGCAAGTAAGATCCTGGCTGATTTGACCAATGCGGATCAGCATTTCAACCCAACCAAGCGTAAGATCTTTTTTTTACTGATAAATGATATACTTCTGTTGAGTATGTACTTGGTCGTCTTCCGAGTGACCACGAATTCAATTTTGTAGCATTCATGGAGAAAAACAGAGATTGGTTGTGGCACACTTTGAACGGTGGCCTCATACACAGCTAGTAAGCTACTACCGATGATCACCTCTGATACCTTGTACGATTCACCTTGTGTTCTCTCATCTGCAGAAGACGACTTCCATCGATAGTGACATCAGAGGTCATTTTGCAACAGAACACGTTTTGTCGCTGCTGACGGCAAACGCTCTTGTGGAGATGAGTCCTCTCCCGCAGCAGTCGTTCTTGGAATAGATAGGTGCATTTTTAACTAGACAAACGGGTAAACGGTCTGTTAATGTAGCTTAGTTCGACAGCATTTCAGGGCCAGGCTATACGGACAAGAGTAGATCCATGAAGTGACTCAGGTTTACGCAGAACCTTCCTATTATCCGAAGCAACGTCATGCGAAAACCGGGATATCAAATGTGTCATTGTTTCCATTAACTCGATAGCTGTGTTCAAAGGAACTAGATAAATTCCTAACTTCTGGTGCTGACGTTAGAAAGTGATATGTTCAAATCAACTAATGAGCCCACTGGAAGATTAGGAAGCTTACACAAGATGACCAGTGACATCACAAGTTAAGATTGTGACCGTTCCTCCTCCTTGGTTCAAAGAGAAGACGATACCTAAACATTCATAATCGTTAACTGTACAAAACGGTATGTTGATGTCAGCTTCAACTCTACCGTCGATAACCAGTGCACCATCAAATATGCAAGTAAAGAAACATCTTTTCCGTCCAGCAGTCCAACAGATACAACTGGTATTAGTTGAACAAACAAACCAGCGAGCATTCAAACGATCTGAGTTCTCAAAATCAAAACAAGACTATCTGGACCCCTGTTAGATTCACATATACCGTTTTAGTTTTGAAACGATATACATAGTGATTATGAGGATGAAATATCGACAGCCAGAATGAACGTTTTCAAACACGGGTCATCAAAATGGTGGTGCGAAACCCTGTTAATGCCACTGGATCGCTTTGATCTTCTATGTTGTCCCTCGGTCAGTAAAGTTCGAATTTCCAGCACACAAATTTCGGGGCTGATGGTCATAGAATGTATGATTAATTCTTATTTGCGTGCATACAACTCCTGAGTGCTCAAGTTCAGTGCCGAACGATCACAAACACCATTAAGGCCAGTCAGAATGAAATCCAAAAATCAGCATAATCAAACCCATTAGGACTCACCACTAGATGCTAATTTTCCAGCATGACTTGAACACATACGAACCACCTGCAACTATTTGCTTTAACCCGGTTCATCTAAGTCATCGGAGGGTTTTTTTATTGTGTATCCATGGGTTAATGATGCTAACTTGGTCCAAGACGCCCTAGCAAATCAAGCTGTCCGTGAAAAGAACAAGGACTATATTTGTAGGCTGTATGAGCCGCAAAACTTATTGTTTCACGTCATTCCAATCTGCAAGGTCCTACTTTTGCTGTGGTGCACTTATTCTATTTAGCCCACACCAAATGGTAGAACTACTGTATCCGAGTTTGGGGATCTGATGGGTCAGGGTGGACAAAAATGTGCCTATGCTGCCGCGGTCCATTGCCCAAGGTTGTTTGGCTGCAATCCAATGGCGAACGACGGCAAGAACAGCAATATTAACTTGGATTTACTGTGGATACCTGCTTATTGCTCTTGTGCCCGGAAATGAATCTTCATACCACGACGTCAAGGAAGGGAATGAAATATCGCTATTGATCAACAAGCAGTTTAACCGCCAATTTATGTCTTCACATTGAAAGAAAAATCTGATGACGTGCCGAATGGCTATTCTTGATAAAAATTTAAATCAGTCAGTATGTGAACAAAGTTAACCAACTACCAACTTTTGCCGAGTCGCTCCATCCAATCATGAAGCTTCGAGTCCACATGACTCACAACCAACCACAAACCGTACAGTCTCCCTGACCTCGGTCCAATCAGTTCCCTGCAGCCCGTGCAGCCCTCGACCAATCGTTGATGCTAGTTAAGTAGGCCAGTGCTTATTGACCCGTTCGTATCATTCCACTGAATTTCACAGGCGACAAGTTTGCTTTGTTCCAGTTACGTACCGGTTTGTGGGCAGTAAAGTTGAGATCAATGGTCAATGTTGAGGACTACCTTTCGTGATACCATTTTAAACCATAAGTTAACTCTTTGTCAGCATGTCAACTCCTGGTCATTTCTCTTCTTGTTCTTACTTCTGGATCAAGAAGTTGTTGCGCGATATTGTTGTCACCGCTATGACTGCCATAATAAGACGGAACTGGCATTTGAAATACACAGTGTCTTCCAAAAAGCAGTTGTTCCCGTTTCAGTATTTAAGCTGACATATCTACCTCATACTGCATATAGCTCAAGTCTAGTGAACTTTATGAACAGGATCGTGTTGCCTGATTAGGTCTTTATGTTGGTGAACCCTTGTGTTTGTAATACAACCCTACTTTTGCTAAAACCTAACTCTAACTAGACATAGAACCATCAGTCTAAAAGACTTTCGAAGTTGCGTGCCAATTCGAAGGATGCAAGACCACTTTTTCTATTCACCGGCCTACTTACTTCATAAGCGGGTATCTTACGACGTAGTACAACCCCTGCTGCATCCACATTCTCATCAGTAGTATGTGCGCAAGTAACAGTGTGGCACAACGCGGACATTGTTAAATAGTCCATCAAAATATAGTCGCTCTCATCAGGATAGTTTCGATCCATCTTCCCCGTTCCTTCGAATATGTGCTGATGTCTTTCCGGTGAGGCACTGGGATCGTTCGACGACTGAAGTTCGTTAGACACACGCATCCTAGCAAACTTTCTGTTGACGTCTGCATTCAATGACGGGAACGTATACACAATCCCGGACTCCAACAAACCACACAAACGCATACACATTGAATTCCGTGTCAGTGTTCCAGTTTTGTCACTAAAGAGAAATTCCACTTGCCCCAGTTCGTCAGCCATCTGAGCACTATTCGCTTTTGCACACAAGTCTTCACTAGGAAGATACATGTTCAAATCTTGGGAGATCAAGTAGGCCATTATGAGTTGTTGCACTTCGATTGTGATGACGATGGATATTGGGATGAGGCAACTCAGAATGAACACAAAACGGAAAACACTTAGTACAAATTCCCAGCGGGTTTCAAATGAAGTCGGTACTTGCCACATTGTATCCTTTGATAACCGTGTCCAAAATGTGAATGAAATCGCGAAGCACACCGACAGGAATACCATGGCAATAATGAATACGACGATGATAGTGTTTGATTTAGATGATCTGGTGCTGTATTTACGCTTTACTTGTTTCCCATTTAATGACAGTTTGGTATCTCCGCCCGTATATACAACCAAACCAAGCAAGAAGTCTGTGTTCCGTAGTTTCGCACCTCTAAGTGCCAGGTTAGATGCATTCAAAGGAATGTCTTGTACAAATTTGGTCGAGAGTCGACCTTCAAACTTTGTCAGATCAGCTGCAGGTTGTTCGCATTCCACTCGGACGTACAGTGGTTTGATCAATTCTAGGGGCGTATTAGGACAATGACGTATACATCTATTCAGTCCATTAGGAGCAACCTTGATGTAGTGGGGTTGTGTGCTAGAGACAGCGTAAAACTTTTTGACATTGGTCTCGCCATCCAAATTTGCAGTAGTCAGATTTATCACACCGGATGTATTACTCGACGCCAGGATGATGACATCACACGGGAAAGCCTCATCCCGCTCACAGCAAATGACATCCCCGACACGCACATCCATTGCTCTTTTTATGACCCAATGCAGATTTGTACCAGAAGAATCCACTTCGAGGAGTTGAACTAGACGGTGATTCAGTTGGCGATCTCGGCGGTGACGCAGAATATCCTCGACACCATCTTTAATCATGGTCATGGTGAGTAGGGCAAGCAATGGTCCTAAATTCGACCAGGCGTTTGTCGCTGCAACCGTAAAACCGTATAGGACGAGAATCGAGGCGAAAAATACGTTTGCCATATTGTGAAACTGCTCTATAAAGTTTCTGGGCAAAAAATCGTAAAAGTTGTACTGGGATGTAACTATAACATTGGAGCAAAATGTATCCATTTTTTCCGTTTTACCCAGGAGGCATTTTGGCCCATGATTCGCGAATATTGTTCGGCTCGCAGACACATTTTTAGTTTCCCGAAACAACCACTTAGCTTTGCGTATTATCATTTGAAGTACACCGTGTACAAATACCATGTAATCCAGTGTAGACAGACGCCTCGGCGTGCTCCTGTGCAAATGCCATGCGAGCTTACTTCTTGCTTTTCTTATTCAACCGCTTGTAACCGGATCAGATTGGTGCACAGCTGGCTGAGATACAATGACATGCAAGTTCGTTAGATGAGTTGAAGTCAACGGCATTTTTCTACCAATCATCCATTCCTGAGATTCTTTGCTAGCTGGCGTTGAGTTGGTTGTGCGGCCGTATTGACGAAAGCTTTTAAGAAGTAGTGCTGAAACGAAGTCTGACAACAGAAGTAAAAAAGCCTGCTAACTATTTTCAAACGGTGCTGTAGCTTTCAAAGCGAAAATAAACAGACCACTAAAGTCGACGTAGTCCATCCCCGGAAGCATATGATCCAAACCAAGTGGTCAATTCAATTTTTTAGCTTCCAAACTGCGCATCGAAGTGTGATAGTTCCACCCGCTTTGTTCATCGAGGATAGGGGTTAGTGGGATATCAGGCACGAGTTAGAGATGATGGTCTAATCCGTGCACTAACCACAAGCGGATCTGTTTGCCTAGTATTGTGGGGAGTGACAGCAGTAAAAGCGATAGCTTTGTTGTAAGAACGTCATAGACTGCATTTCACAGTCGTATATGTCAGGTTCAGTGGCCATTAGTTTGCCTTTTCCGGCGGTCTCCATCAGAGAAAGCCATACAAATAGACTGTTGCCAACAAATCCCAAACATTCAGTGCCCCAACACCAGGCGTGTTAGTTGCGAAACAAGATACGAATCCGAAATTACAGTTTACTTGTGCAGTAAGCAGTTCTTTCTGAAAATTTTATGTTTAGAATTAGTCCAAGCATGCGTCGATGAAACAAGTTTACCTTGCACTGATCAGTGTTCCAGAAATAAGACGGACGAAAGAACTAGAAACCAGGGCTTGCATGGTGCTAGATATTATTTCATGTACACGAACATATCGTTTCCTTTCGCCCCCATTTTGATTTCCGCAAAGCAGTACTCTGTTTTATCAGCGTGCTTATCTACTCATTAAATTTTGGCCGTTCGTTATAATGTATGATATATGTTAACAGCGTCAATTATACTGCGCAATAAAGAAACATCACTAACAGTAGCTGCAGCGTCTTCCTCCCGTTCGTTTGTAGGCTTTGCTATATACATTCATTATTACGTTATCATTATATCATTATGCCCCATACGTCTCTGAGTGGGGTTGTCTCCTTTATCTCTGTTCAGGACAGTCTAAAATTCATATGAGAAAGAACAATAAACCCGTTAATCTGGAAGTCTGAATCAAGAGGCTGTTACAGTGAAGTCTCGCTTTCTCCAAATCATGGTCTTAGAGCAGCTAATCACCAAGTGTCCCGATGCAAGAATCGGTCACAGTATCTCTAGAACAAGTAGTCTGCCGATCACACAAATGGAAGCCGAAACCAAAAATGTTTACATTGTAAGGTCGCTTACTGCAAATCGGTTCTTCTTCCATACTTCCAGTGGCAACGAGGCTATCTAAACCATTTAGGTAGCACTTTTCATCAACACTGAAGATTGATTTCTTCTAGTACAGGAAGCTACTCAAAACGCTACCCAAAAATTCTGCGGCAGCCCACTACCGGTTTGGCCTTTCCTGGGACTCATCAGGTAGGCGCAGTAACCGAGTTTCAAACAAGAGATTCATTTGAGTCTCCCGTGGCGACCAATTTGATGTGTAAATGAGCTCACTCGTCGAAATAGATTTCTTCTGTCTGTGATTCCATAAGACTTATCGGTTCTTCTCCCATACATCCAGTGGCAACGAGGCTACCTAAACCATTTAGGCAGCACTTTTCATCAACACTGAACATTGATTTCTTCTCGTACAGGAAACGACTCAAAACGCTACCGAAAATTCTGCAGCAGCCCACTACCGGTTTGGCATTTCCTGGGACTCATCAGGTAGGCGTAGTAACCGAGTTTCAAACAAGAGATCCATTTGAGTCTCCCGTGGAAACCAACTTCATGCGTAAATGAGCTCATTCGCCGAAATGGATTTCTTCTGTCTGTGATTCCATAAGACTTGCTCAAGTATCTTTGTGCTCCGTGTGTAAGCTTACAGCACTGTCAATGGGCCTCAGACGACTAATAAGCTGGGAGCACTTGCTCAAACATACCCAGCCTCTAAATACAACTCGCTTCTTATGATGCGTACTCGTGATATTTGTCACACGTTTGTTTTTCAAGATCTTCACCAGCTTATTTGCAGATTTTGTATTGACCGCCTGGCTTTCTGGTCACCTATCCCAGGAAGGTTGACCAGAATATTTTCCCTACAGTTATCATTTACTCAGAATCCTTTAACCATACCACTTGTTTGTTCTGGAATCAATGTAGGGACAGGGAATTCCCATTGCAATGATAAATATAAGAAAGCTTTCCTTTAGTTTGCTCGAGCACACCATTTTGTTTTCCATATTTAAAGCACACCTTGTCGACGAGTGCTACTTACAAATGAGAACAACGGAGTTGTGACCTTGAGATGCTTGTGATTTGATTGATCTGGATCTCACATGTCGGGAAAAGGTTCTCCATTTGATCAGTGAAGTCACTTTAACAGATTTTCTCATTTTATCGAAATGCGACTGGGTCTTATTGGTCTTATGTTCAGTACCAATCCTAAAACTCAGCAAGGACTGTCTTGAAATCTGAACGCCTCGCGCTGAAGATGGGCTGTACTCTGGAAGATGGGCTATACTCTGTGCATTTCACTCGTAAATTTCAACATAAGCGGACTTAGAAACAACGACGTGTAGAATTGTGTAGAAATTTCACGTTGAAGCTTTCATTGTCACTACTGAGGAAAGGGGCCTTTTTGAATAAAACCGAAATGATTATTTTTGGAGCTGTTTTCATAATGCGTCATGCTTGTTGACGAGTTGGTCTGATGGCCGGGTTTGACTCACTCTTACCTTTTAGTTGGTGGCATGTATTCAAATCCTTCATCTGTAACACACTTTCGGTGCCTAGCTGCCATGCCACCAGAAAGAAGCACGAGGGCTGGGATACTGCCATATCGTCCAAGCCTAGACAGAGGAATCCGAGAGGTAGAGGTCGGGTTTGAAGCATCGACCTTTCGGTTAGTAAATTGGCGCTCTAATAATTTGAGACATCTCGCCCCCGGTGTGTATACAGTCTCCACTTCAATAAAGCGATTAATTAAATCTCATGGGAAGTACCCCCTCTCGCGCCCTCTTTTTCCAGTTTCACGACCTTTACGTTTCCTAGGTTGGGGTTTTTATCCTTCTTGATCTTCACGAATAAAAACAAAAGTAGCGGTTCATATCTCTTCAAAGCTGCCTTGTCTTCCTTTACGTACGTAGGAAAGTTTCCTCCAGTTTTTCTAAAATAATATTTGTTACGATCAGTGCCACTGGTTTGGTACACGGTGTTGTCAGTTTCGCGTTCGTCTGTCTTGGCCTTGTTTGCAAACAGTTTACCCAGTACAAGGGCTAGTTTTGGGGCCTATAAAATTCCTTTCGATTGCAGCGATACTGCTTTAGTTTCAGGTATTTTTGGGGGAAAGGTGAAAACTACCTCTATCACGTACTTTGAAAAAATTGATATGCTAGATATTTATATCAGAAAAATTTTGGAGAAAAAACTCTTCAACAGCAAATGGAACAGCAAGACCAGCTGACCAAACAGATGGTTCCTTCGTAAATAGAGATGCGGTTGTTGCATTGGTTTCATGTAAGACACATGTTGAGGCCGCTAATCTGATTGGCTTCACTTCTCGTGCCCTATGACTAATGGACTGGCAACCTCCACACACCATTGATCTGTGATTGGTCATCCTGTTTCACATCCATTCTTCTGCTCGCTTTTCAGATTCCATAGTGAAAAGCCGCTTGGCAATTTTCACTGCATCCGTCTCATCACCATGTGATGGACACCAGCAGCTACAACAGTGCTGCATGCTTGAATGATATTTGGAATATTTTAAGGCTGTCCATCTTACTCGATCCTACACTTGAGATCTATTTCGACAGTGTCATGCACACCAGAAATCGAGCGCCGGAATACTACCCACACCATATTTGCACCAGAGTGTAATTCTTCGTGAACTGGAAGTATTTGTTTAGTGGCCTAAATTTCATTCTTCGATTCTCCAAACTCCACTAAATGAGCTCAACCTTGCGTAATACGGATAAAAGGCGAGTCCTAGAAAATACCTCATTAAAGGTTACATAGAATGTAAAACTGCATAAAACGACATACTAGAGCATGTCCGTTATAAGCTTTGCTTAACCTTTCTTAGTCGGTTCACTATTCGGCAAATTAACTGGGAAAAATTAGTTATGATTTGAGCTTTCTGGTGCAAGGTTCTAACCAAGAGTCAAAAATTTAGCCTGTCAGGTTCGTGTACCAGACTCAGGATACCTTAGCAGTGCAGCAGTTCTGCGGCGTAGCATGCTCGAAATTCGTGCAGTTATCCATAATTTTCGATTCGAAAGGTGAAGCCAGTATCCAACTTCGCTGACGACGATTCAGGCGTCAAAAATGCTGTGACGTGAGCTTGATTTTTCAACAGTCAATCACATTCATCTGCTAGATCACATATCCACACACTGATGGTGTATTTATTTTAGCCCATCCTGCACTCGCAAGTAAATTTAAAAAAATCTACAGAATCAAATCTAAATGGCCTATCCATTCTAAAAGGTTTGGCAAGCTATTTCAGTTTCTTTATCAAATATGGTTATCCCTTCTCACCAAAAGCCATGAATCTCGATGTATCACTCCTTTATCCGCGTCTAAATACCAACCCTTGCTCTCACTTTATGTTCACAGTGCAGTGCAAGACAGTATAGTACAGTAAAACGCACTTCTTAGTAGCTTGCTCTTCTTCATTAAGAAAGCTACTCCTCAGCAGTCAAACTGTTTCTCACTGTGATCTATCGCTTCACTGGGTCCAAAATCAGACCAAGATAAGTAAACTAACTTCTTCTGGTAAAAGGGTATTGTCAATTTTCCTGTCGAGTGGTATCTAACATTCTTTCAATGACAAATGGTGACAGTATTCTACAGACTAATTGTGCTGAACCAGCACAGACTTTCCTTGATTTCGAGTGCTCATTTTCTGATATAAAGCTCAACGTTCGATAAACAAACAGAATATCATGTTGGCTTGGTTCAAAGTGAGAGAAACTCTACCGTTCATTGAAATACTAGCAACTACACATGTCACTCAGCCATGCTGTCGAATTTGATCTCATAAAACCATTTAGTCTCTGTAGGTATGTCTGTGCCTGCCCATAAACTGCGCGCATCACAGCGTCCTCGTTAGTCATTCATCCCGTCCCCGGACTATGTTCATCGTAGCCTTGTAAATAGTACTTTGTCAGGGACAATAATTCTAATTCGCTATCATGACTGTCATTCCAGATGAAAACTAAGGTGGCCTCAGCGCAGCACACTCATGTGGAGAATGTTACAAGCGGGAGTTTCTGCTAAGATTCTTCCGAGTTTATTGCTATTTTGCTTACATGAGATTACTGTCATCGGTTAGGTCATCAGTACACAAGTTGAGAGAATGATGTTGGCCCCGCACACTCGCAGCCTTGGGACCAATAAAGGTCAGCCATATGACATTGAAAAGCAAGAAAAAGCATATTACTCTCCATACACCGAGTGGAATAGGGTCGAGATCGTGTGGACTGCACCGCTCCTAAGGTATTTGCTTAATTCCTCCGGGTTTTTCTGGAAAACACAGCTACGACAGAGGAATACGATTGAAAAACAATTCGAATTAAATTAATTTCATGGAAAATTCAGATGAATCCTGACCAGATCTCTTCAGCTTAATGTGATGCAAATGGATTGTCTCGCAGTTTATGGGAACTCAGGGACTGTGTCTATCTGATGAAGGTGGTGAAACCGGTGCCGGGTTGCCGAAAGTTTTCAAGCAAATATATGAGTGGTGCGGTCCATAAACTGCACATTTGAGTGCATCGACTATGCCTTTTCGACTAGAAACGAGACGTTTGTGTGCTAGTTGCTAAGCTCGGTTAACAAATTAAAAGTTCAACGGAGCTATCTGAAGTTGTTGCTCACATGTACATCAGCTGTTCATAGTTGTTTTAACGGGGCCAGTTCCGCACATCAGGTTGCGGTTTGTGGATGCACCACTCTGATGTACGATTGAAACACTTACTACCTGACAACTTGACGACATCGTTATGTGCCTTAGCCTTGCCTCCGTACAACAAACTACAAAAGCGCTCTCATTCAACCAAGTCAGATGTATCGCGGACTGGTTTGTAATATTGTAGCAACCAAACGTACGATAAACATGCCGTACATAGATGTATCTGTCAAAACCGGTTTCAAGACATAGAGGCGGGCAACAGTGCGCAAATGTAGCGGATAACAGTACGGCAAAGAACTGAACTATGACTCAGCACATACATTCGGTGAATACTAGGTACAAACATCAAGATGAAGTGAACACTCTGAAAAATGAATTCAATACAACAAGCGTGTAACGGATGCTCTGGTGCTACTATGGAGTGAACTTTCATGTAATTAGAATCAACAGTTCCAACCTGAGAGGATAACGGTTACCGAAATGACT